GTCTTGTGACACACACACACAGACACACTTTAAATGCTACATTAAGATCTAAAAACTTACTTGATTGTCTTCAAATTCTTCAAATGGTTGGACTTCGGAAGGCCCTTCTTTAACAGGATATCTGTTGTTAATTTTGTCATTGTGCTTGCCTGCCAGGTTTTCCTAAAGAGAAAAGAGATTTACTAACCAACTCAGAAGGCTATAAAACGCAAGCTTTCAACACACTAAGTTTCTCTGTTAGACATGATTCAATACAGGATCTTAAAGCGGAACTAAACCTACCTTTTAGAAAACTGCAAGCCGGCAGTTTTTTGTTTTTATTGTAGAAGAGACATCCTAGGGTTAATTTACTAAAACTGGAGAGTGAAAAATCTGTGTATTGTAGCCAATGAGCTTTTAACTTCAGCTTGTTCAATTAACCACTTCTTGAAAAATTTTACCCCCTTCATGACCAGGCCATTTTTTTCTGCTTGGCATTGCATTACTTTAATTGACAATTGCATGGTCATGCAACACTGTACCCAAATGAAATTATATATATATATATATATATATATATATATATTTTTTTTTTTTTTATTTTTTTATACAAATAGAGCTTTCTTTGGGGGGTATTGTATCACCACCGATTTGTTTTTTGTTATACAGCAGGGAAAATTAATATTTGATCTTCTATATTTATCATTTGTGAAAAAAGATCAATATGCAGATTTTGTAAGCCCACTTACAAAGAAATGAAGGGTCTATAACTTTTGATCATAGGTGTATTTTAAATGAGAGAGACAGAATATCAACCAAAAATCTAGAAAAAAAAACGAAAAAAAAAAAAAAAAAAAAAAAAAAAAAAAAAAAAAAACACACGATACAAATGTTATAAATTGAGTTGCAGTTCAGCAAGTAAAAAAGGAATTTGATCCCCCTACCAACCAACAATAATTCTGGCTCCCACAGACTGGCTATGTGCTCATATGGTACATAGATTAGTCCAGTCAATTTAAGAAGGTGCTCCTAATGACAACGTGGTATGTGTATAAAAGATACCTGTCCAAAGAATAGCTTTCTTCCATTCAAACCTCAACACCATGGGCCAGACCAAAGAGCTGTCAAAGGACATCAGGTAGAAGACTGTAGACCTGCACAAGGCTGGAATGTGCTACAAGACAATCAGCAAGAAACTTAGCAAGAAGAAGCGGATTATTCACAAATGGAAGAAATACAAAATAACCATCAATCGCCCTTGGTCTGGAGCTCCATGCAAGATTTCGCCTCATGGAGTAAGGATGATTATGAGAAAAGGGAAGGATCAGTGCAAAACTACATGGGATGAGCTTGTGAATGATTTCAAGGCAGTTGGGACCACAGTCACCAAACAAACCATAGGCAACACAATATGCCACCATGGATTGAAATCCTGTAGCACAAGGTCCCCCTCCTCAAGAAGGTACATATACAGGCCCATCTGAAGTTTGCCAATGAACATCTAAACCAGGGGTCCTCAAACTTTATAAACAGGGGACTATAGTTTAAAAAAAACAAAAAAAAAAAAAAAAACTATGAACAAATGCGGACACAGTACAGGAGATGACCAGAGACTGCGGACACAGTACAGGAGATAATAAGTGATAAACAGTAGTAAAGAGTCAATAAAGCATCCACAATGTTTCACTGGAGAAATGCGAACTTCCACGGCCTTTTACTCCTTCAAATAACAGAAATGCGCACTCACCAGAAAACGCATGGATTTGCGCATATACAATCAGACATCCCAGGTGATAGGAACATCAAAGGTTAGGCAGCAGGCATTTTCCTCATGATGGGTCATCACAGACTCCTGGGTCAGGTCCAGAGGTTCCCCTAAGGTCAGCCAGGCACTCCACACAAAAGCTCCTCTTAAGATGGCAGTGTGCTCTCTCTGTGGGAATGATAGCTCCACATAGGAGCCCCAGAAAACAGATGCCAGAGATAGTGTAGTACTTCCCAAAAACTTTTTATTCATATAAAACGCATAACAGGGCAGTGTGCATAATCAGTTTCATATGTGAATAGAAAAAGCAGCAGTACTGACCCCAATAAAAATGGCCGCTGGGCCTCCTCGTGGCTCCGGCGGTGATATGACGTCACGCTCTGCACAGCTCCTCCTTAGGCCTTTCGTGCTACAGGCACATCATCAGAGGGGAGACTGCACAGAAGCGTGACCGACGTCAGTGAAGATATAAGAAAACCGGCACATGCGCAGTTGGTCGCGGTCATATTCCCGGAGACAACAAGAACTGCGCATGCGCGGAGCGCGGCAGCGCCATTTTGCCGTGGATCCACAGTCAGATACATAGCAGGGAAGAGACAGAGAGATGTCTCATTGCACAACCCTTCGGTGATGATTATCTACTATGCCGCAGACCCCAGGGATTTGTTATAAGCACTATGCTCCCAAATAAAGTGACAGTGCAAATTACAGTAATAATAACTGTGCACATATTGATATATGGGATATAAGAGTCCCTTTAGTGAATGGCTTATGGTTGCAGTAACGGACCACGGCAAGATGTAAACATAAAAAATTTTTTAAAAGTGTGTCACAAATGTCATAATGACTCACAAAATAATTAAATGCAAACAGTAGAACAATAAAAAGTCGAACCTATGCAACGGATGACATATCTGATCTAAAATTGTCAGACCACATCCAGATAAGTGTAGTAAATATGTATATACCCCAAAAAGTATAGTAGATGAAAGCAGACAAAAGGATAAAAAGAGGTAAAAAAACCCAAATAGGGTTGAACGAATAGACAATTTAAAATAACCCATTAAAATAATGTACAATCACAACAGTTCCTCTATTAATCCCCACATCAATGATGCAAACGGGGTAAGGGAAAACCATCAGACATACATGAACTAATAATTAATTGATCCATAATCATTAGTAAAAAGTGAAATCTAAAAAGGCATAAAAGTATGTTATTAATAAAACATCATACTGATGAAAAAATACCCCACATAATAATAGTATGAGCAAAAAGGGGGGAAATCAGAAATAGATCCCCTCAGCTGTTAGCAATAAAGCAGTTAACATCTACCTCAATGTTGTGGCCTAAGGGGTGTAAGGTATGAAGCTCAAACACCCATTTCGTTTCGGCTTGGGAAACTGCTCGTCTTATTAATACCCCTCCAGTGGTTGCCGATCACATCAATACCAATGAATTTTAACGAAGATGGGTCACTGTTGTGATGAAGACGATAGTGGTTGGATAAGGAGTGCTCCCTGAACCCTTTCTTAATATTTGAGACATGCTCCCGTAACCGATCGCGTAACCGTCTTGTTGTCCGGCCAACGTATTGTTTACGACAGGGGCACTGTAGTAAGTATACTACGAACTTACTATAACAGGAAATAAATTGCTTAATATTGTAAGTTTTGCCAGTAATAGATGATTCGAATGTATTGACTTTCTTTTTTCTGGTATTATTACATTTGCAGATGATACACCTATTACAAGGGTGAAACCCTTTCAAATCATTAAACAGGGATATGTTTGTAGGGGGGTCAACAACATTTGGTGCAATTATGTGCCTAACAGCAGTAGCCTTACGGAATACAATTTCTGGTTTGTCAGGTAAAATTGCTGATAAGATTGGGTCCATTTTCAAAATGCCCCAATTGTCATTCATAATTCTATTAATCGTCTTATATTGAATTGAAAAAGACGTGACAAAGGGGCATACTTTCTTTTGGTTATTCTTAGGCTTATTCAACAACATGGTGTTTCTATCGATCTGCGCCACTGTTCGAATAGTGTGATCAAGGGTTGCCTCATTGTATCCCTTCTCTAAAAATCTCTGTTTTAAAATATTAGCCTGAGTTAGAAAAATCTCATCATCCGTGCAGTTCCGCCTAATCCTCATCATCTGTCCTTTTGGGATATTCGATAGCCATTTAGGATGATGGCAACTCCCAAGAGGGATGAAACTGTTGCGATCAGTTGATTTAAAAAAACGATTTCGTGGTGATTCTACCCATATGGTTAACAAGAGTCAAATCTAGAAAATTAATTTCATCCCGGCTATAAGTGTAAGAGAGTTTAATATTGAGGCTGTTGTTATTTAATGAATTAAAAAAGTTTATAAGAGACTCCTCCTCCCCATTCCATAAAAGCAAGATATCATCAATATATCTTTTATAAAACAGCAACTCAGGCCAGTCCCTAGCAAAGATAAGGTCCTCCTCCCAACGGGCCATAAACAAGTTTGCCAGGCTAGGGGCAAACTTTGCCCCCATCGCTACGCCTCTAATCTGCAAATAAAATTCCTCGTTGAACCAAAAATAGTTCCTAAACATCGCAAATTCCAATAGGTCTAAAATGAAATTCTTCTGGGTGGCGTGTAAAGAGCTGTAGTGCGTCAGCCTTTAACTCTTTCAGGACCTTATTTCTAAATAAATTCACATATGCGTGAGTTTGCGGAGGGGGGTTATAGGTAGACGCATTGTGCAGGCTGGAATGAGCATATCTATCAATAGACACATTTTTAGTAATGGGGTTATTTGCAAAATACCTTTTAAGGGATAGTTGCCGTGCAAATTTGTGTATATCTATATAGGTTTCAAATTTGTTCAGACTTTTAGATGGGGCATATTTCAATCCTTTATCTAACAAAAGGAGCTCTTTCTCTGTGAGGCTAGTTCCACTAAGGTTAAAAATCCCTTGTGCCTTTACACCCTCCTTTTCTTGGGGGTGTCCATTGGTTCTCTTTCCTCCTCTCTTTCCCCTCCGGTATCTCTTCTTTTCCGTGTTGTGCTCACCCCTAAAAAAGGCTGCCTAGGATAATTACAAGGCCAACTAATTACAATAAGAATAATAATAGATCCAATAATTATGATTACAGGGTACCTCCTAATCCGGACAATTATTATAATCAGCCACCAAATCCGGGCTATTGTCAGCCAACAAATAATTATCCTAGGCAGCCTTTTTTAGGGGTGAGCACAACACGGAAAAGAAGTTCCATCCTCCAGCTCTTCTCTGTCTCCAGCTGCTCCATTCGTTTGCAGACCTGCGTTTACTTGCAGTGCTCCAGTAGTTAAAACCAGAAAAAAGCGGAAATTCTTTCCAACCAGTACCATCCTGCCAGTATCCAAACAGGTGAGCCTGCCGTCTGAGAACCTGCCTTCCGTGGTTCAGCCTGGTGCCTCGGCACCCGCACTTCAGCCTGAGGTCTGTACCCAGCCTGATGCCTCCACTCAGCCTGATGCCTCCACTCAGCCTGATGCCTCTACCCAGCATGATGAACTGATCCAGACTGATGATCCTATTAGGCCAGTTGACTCGATGCCCGCTGTTGATCCAGATGGTCCGGTGCCCGCTGTCGTGCCAATTGACTCAGAGCCCGCTGTCGTACCTGGTGACTTGGTGCCCACTGTCTTGCCAGATGACGCGGTGCCCGCTGTTGAGCCAAATGACCTGATGCCTGGTGACCCAGTGCCCGCTGTCATACCTGGTGACCCGATGCCCGCTGTCGAGCCAGACAATCCAATGCCTGGTGACCCGGTGCCCACTGCCTTGCCAGATGACGCGGTGCCCGCTGTCGAGCCAAATGACCTGATGCCTGGTGACCCGATGCCCGCTGTCCAGCCAGACGATCCAATGTCTGACCCAGTGCCAGCGGTCATGCCAGTTGACTCGGAGCCCACTGTCGTGCCTGGTGACTCGGTGCCCGCCACTCCGCCTGGGGGCCCGAGACCTGTTGCTCCGCCTGAGGGTCCGGTGCCCGCCGTTTCGCTGGGGGGTTCGGCGCCCGCCGCTCCGCCTGGGGGCCCGAGACCTGTCGCTCCGCCTGGGGGCCCGAGACCTGCCGCTCCGCCTGGGGGTCCGGCGCCCGCCGCTCCGCCTGGGGGCCCGAGACCTGTCGCTCCGCCTGGGGGTCCGGCGCCCGCCGCTCCGCCTGGGGGCCCGGCGCCCGCCGCTCCGCCTGGGGGCCCGAGACCTGTCGCTCCGCCGGGGGGTCCGGCGCCCGCCGCTCCGCCGGGGGGTCCGGCGCCCGCCGGTCCGCCGGGGGGGCCCGAGACCTGCCGCTCCGCCTGGGGGCCCGAGACCTGCCGCTCCGCCTGGGGGCCCGAGACCTGCCGCTCCGCCTGGGGGCCCGAGCCTGCCGCTCCGCCTGGGGGCCCGAGACCTGCCGCTCCGCCTGGGGGCCCGAGACCTGCCGCTCCGCCTGGGGGCCCGAGACCTGCCGCTCCGCCTGGGGGCCCGAGACCTGCCGCTCGCCTGGGGGCCCGAGACCTGCCGCTCCGCCTGGGGGCCTGGCGCCCGCTGCTTCGCCTGGTAATCCGATGTGCCCCTGCCCCGGAGTCCAGCCCGATGTGCCCCTGCCCCGGAGTCCAGCCCGATGTGCCCCTGCCCCGGAGTCCAGCCCGATGTGCCCCTGCCCCGGAGTCCAGCCCGATGTGCCCCTGCCCCGGAGTCCAGCCCGATGTGCCCCTGCCCCGGAGTCCAGCCCGATGTGCCCCTGCCCCGGAGTCCAGCCCGATGTGCCCCTGCCCGGTGTGCCAGTCTTTGATATCCCGCCAGTTACCAGACCCGGGCGGTGGAACATTTTGCCCAGCTAGGACTGTTTGGAGCGTCCTGAGGCCGCTCCTTGAGGGGGGGGGGGGGGTACTGTCAGGAATGGACTGGCCAGCAATGGTGGGACTCACCTGCCTTATGAGCTGCAGTACCAGGGCTGGCCAGCAGGTGCTCCCAGCAATCAGAGACTCAACCTTGCAGCCAGTCAAACACCTGGAACTGATTATACTGGTGTATTTAAGGGATGGCCAGACCTGCAGACTCGGCCTTGGTGTGTGTTTCTCCTGGGCCCTGTATCCTGTTCCTGTCTGATTCGTTGCTGACCCTGCTTTGTGATCCATTCTGGCTTTGTCTGACCATTCTCCTGCTCCTGATCCCTGGCTTGTCTGACCATTCTCCTCTGCCTGACCCTCTGCTACCACGCTGCCCGCTGTACCACGCTGCCCGCTACCTGCTGAACCTGGCTTGTGACCCCGACCATTCTCCGCTTGCTCCCCCTGTACCTACCTGCCCGAGTGATATTGACCCGGCCTGCCTGACGACGCTTGCATTGTATGTACTGTCATCTGTGGGTGGTTGGTTTGGTTTGTTTGCACTGTGTTATGTTTTTAGTATTGCACTGCGTTTATGTTTGTATTGTTAGTGTTAATAAATTATATTGTTTATAACATATCTGAAGTCTGCGTTTCCCTGCGTCAGTCACACACCTCTGGTCATACCCCGGGAGCCCTGACAGGAACTCTTTGGCATTAACTCAACTTGCCGTGTTTGGATGAATAAAAATGCTTACTACAACCCTAAGAACACCATCCCTACTGTCAAGCATGGAGGTGGAAACATTATGCTTTGGGGTCGTTTCTCTGCTAAAGGTACAGGCCGACTTTGCCACATTGAGTGGCCGATGGACGGGGCCATGTAATACACAATCTTGGATGAGAATCTTCTTCCCTCAGCCAGAACACTGAAGATGGATTGGATTTGTCTTCCAGCATGACAATTACACAAAACATACTGCTAACGCAATAAAGGAGTGGCTCAAGAAGAAGCACATTGAGGTCATGGAGAAAAGTAAAAAAAAAATAAATAAATAAACTCCACTCCAAAAATATCAACACTCACAAAAGCACATGCTCCTCATAGAGCATCTCCTTTAAACACCATTTATAAAATTTAGCTTGAAATATCAAGCGGTTATCTATTCTATAAAAGATCTCAAAGTATCAGAGTTCATAAACTCAACCCAAGGGGACCAAACCGACAGCAACTATACATGAATGTTATAAGTATCTGTCAGTTCTTCCAATCTCATTCTATTTATTTCATCTATCCACTCCTTAACAGAAGGGAGAACTTGAGTATTCCAATACCTTGGTATTACTATACGTGACGCAGAAAATAGAGAACATGACAGTCCTCTTTTTGATGCTCTCTCAGAATCTGGAAATATAGATAATTATGCTATTTCTGGGGACATCTGATAAGATGTGTCATTCATATGTGAGCAAATCTGGAATACTAATTCCCAGAATGGGTTGATCCTAGAAAGGACCACCATACATGCGTCATTGAGCCTACATCCTCCCCACAACGCCATTATTTTGCCGGATAGGTTGAAATTATCTTATGTATTCCCACTGGACATCTGTACCACCTTGTTAGCATTTTAGAATTTTTCTCTTTGAATGGCAGTTGACATACTAGATTTGAATGTTAGCCTAAAAGACCTTTTCCACTCTCTCTCTGGTTACTATGTGGCTTAGTTCTCTCTCCCAGTCTCTGGTATAGTAAGGTCGGTGTGAATATGCATGAGATGATATACCATATATTGTTGAAATAGCATGTGAACCCATCAAGCCCCTCATACAGAGTTATTCAAAAGGGGTTAGGATTCTATGTAATGAACCTTTTTTTATATAAATATTTGTAAAAACGTTGAAGTTGAAAATAATGGAGCCAATGGCCAGTATACAAATTAACTACAGATGAAAATTCGTTAAGTGGTATAAGTCCCTCAACAGCAAGAGCCCATTTAATTGAAGAAGGGGACACAGATGTCCAGCATAAAAATCTAGCTACCATTAGTTCCTGCTCAAATTCTGGGTTCCCCATAATCGGGGTAAGAGCCAGGTATTGTAGAAATGCTCAATTTTTGGGTGGTCCCATCCCAAATTTAACACAAATTGTGTCAAAAATGAAATCTTTTATCTTGGAGGACACAACCTAGGATCGATCCATGGTAGGGAGGTCAGTTGAATTGGGGACATTAGTTGTTCAATAGATACCCACTGTGCGGAGTGGCTATGATAAAACCAGTTGAGAATCCTGGTAAGTATAGATGCTATATGATAAAATTCCATATGTTGTAATCCAGCTCCTCCCTCCATTTTCCTCATGACCAAAATATCATGCCGAGTTCTAACCAAAGTATTTGACCAGATATAATCGAAGTAAGCTAGATAGCAAGGAACGAAAGAACATCCGTGGAAGGGAGATAGGAAGTGTTTGGTATAGGTAGAGAAAATGAGGGAGAACATCCATCTTAAAAATTGCCATTCTCCCAAACCCTTTTTTTCCCCCTTAGTTCTAGACTGCAACTCACCAATTATGGAATTTAATAAAGGCAAGTAATTTAATATATTTTGTCCTGTAAAAGGAGCTGTCCTTTGTCTCCATACCTATATATTTTGGCTATGGAGCACTTGGCGATGGCCCTTCGGTCGGATGATACTATTCTGGGAGTACGAATGGGTGATTGGGACTATAAATTGAGTTTTTTTGCTGATGATTTACTTTTATATATATCTAATCCAAAAATAGCTTTTTCATATATCTTCCAAGAACTGGAACAATTTGGCTTCCTCCGTAATTTTAACGTTAATGTAACAAAATCTTGATGTTTAAAAATAAACTTGGCAATTACTGAGAAAGAAAAGATAGAAGCCAAATTTCCATTTCATTGGGAGGAACAAAGCCTTAAATATCTAGGCTTGGGACATCTTAGTCAAAATCTGTACACTTTTTTTGTCCTAATGGCTACCAGATTCCTGGAACTTGTCTACTTTTGTCCTTTGCGGATCTCTCTTAACTTGTGCTGTTCAGTAGCGCACATATGTTGTAAAGCGCGGCGCAAACTGTTGACGTTATATGAATGTTGTATAATAATATCAGATGACAGGTATCTTTAGAAGTGCTTGATCTCTTCTGGAGGAACAAACCTATGGGCTAAAACCCCTCCCTGTCTTGAAGGAGCTAACACAAAATGCACTCAGTTTCAGTACACGTTTAACATATCCCAGTTTTATGATTAAATTGATTGACATGATTGTAACTCCATAGGGAGCCATGAGACTGCAGATGTAAAACGTAAACAAAGGCAGGGTTTAGCATTGTCTGCAACTGCAGGGTGCAGAGACACCATTAGACCACTACACTCCATAAGGGGTTTATGCAGGCCATAGATGGGACATTATCGCCCGAACGAAAAATCAGCCGATATTCACGCCGTTAGTGGGGCAATGTCGTCGGCCGATTTTCGTGGTTCTTGACGGTTCTTTTTATTGGTCATGCTGGAAAATCTACAAAAAACGGATGTTTTTCGTAAGCATTGGTGGCAGCAACGACCGATTTTTCATTTATCGGCCGATAAACGTCCCGTCTATGGCCAGCCTTAGACCACAGGTGGAAAATAGGAGCTTGTAAAATACTGATATTTCTCACCTCTATGGATCCTAGTAATACATAGAATATCTATGGAATAGAGTGCTGTATTTTTCCTGGTGTTCATATGCCTTGAGCAACTATTATCTTTATATTTCTATGTCAAATTACAGAGAAACATAGAAAAGTGATGGCAGAAAAAGACCGAGTGGTCCATTGGTCCGTTTTTTGTTTGTTTTTGTTATTGTACAAAGGCAGGTTTAGCCCAGGGTGGATTTGATTTAAATCATTAGTGAAAAGGCTCGATTTAAATCAGAATTTTTAAAGAGCAACTGTCATCTCTGTCCAGCGGCGGCTCCTCCTCGGACTCGTTGTTGACTCACCGACAGTCTCATTCACTTTAATGGGACGGCTGGTGATGCGGCAGTGACACAACAAGGTGAGGGACGTGGCAGCAGCAGGCGAGTGGATGCCCGCTAACAGGCGCTGTCATGATGGATCTAAAATGACAGGTGCTCTTTAAATGTAAGGAATCCAACTCATTCTTGCTGGTAGTTAGAATCATAAATATTTGCAAACCAAATGAAGCTGTCAGGTTAATAAAACAGCGATATCAGAACCAATTTTAGGTTTATAGCTCGAGAGACTCAAATTCTTTTATTTCATGTTTTTTCTCGTGGTTACTGTGAAAATGTGTGAATGCATCAATGCAGTGCATGTTATCTCAGCTTGCATTCATTGAATGAGTTTACAAAAAAATGTAAATATTGCAGAATATACAGCCTCATGCTACAGAACTAAGCTCCTTTTCATGCCGAATAAACTAAATTATTAATGTATCTTAAATAGAAAAAAAAACAAAAAAACAACTATCTTTAGATAGATTTTTATTCCAAAAGCATTTTATTAAAATAAATTTCATAAAAAAACAAAAACAAAAAAATCCGATTTTTTAATTTTGTTTTTAAAAAATCATCGATTTTTGTCCACCCTGGTTTAGCCTAGTCTGCAACTGCAGGAGCATTATATACAGCTAGGCCAACTGCACATGGCCATAAAAATGTAATGATGTTTATAGTGCATATCTATGTGCGTGTGCCTATACAAACATAAGCATAGCGTTTTCGATCATTTATTACAACTCTGTACTTAATACTGTTGTATTGCTGATCTTTACGCAGCTGTATGCATTGCTCAGTAGACAACAATGCAGATCAGTTAAAAAAAAAAAAAAAAAAAAAAAACCACTTGGTGATTTTTGTACAAGAGATCCTATAAACAAATTTAGGTCCATCCTTGACTAAGGCTACATTGACATGGCTGTAAACATTTTACTGATCACAAAAGTTGATCAGCAAATAGAACTGTGGTTTGTGTGCATGTGAGAGATTCTCAACTTTTTCTTTCAAAAGTCTTCTTGTATGGGTCCCAAAATCTTAAAGTACAACTAAAGGCAAAACTTTTTTTAGTTTTGGATAGAGTGGAGATGGATTAGACCACCTGTCAGTTTTTATTGCCGCTTGTATCCCTGTTAAGGAAGATTCACCCTCTCTATTTGTGCTGTTTACTATTATCATTGAAAGTAAAAGAAAATACCAAATTTTTGTTTTCCCCAGAAAAGTATTAGAGGGGAAATCTTCCAATCGGGACACTAATTCTAGTGAATGGGGAAAGAACAAAAAGAGGGCGCACAGGCCTAGTGCATTACCATAAAAAATGTTTAATAAAAAATAAAGTAGGTGTTGTACTCACAAACGACAATATAGTCAAGGCACATCATAGAAGAACAGCTGGATAACACCGCGCTGAGTAACAGTCCACAATAGAGGGCTCTGAGGAAGAGGCAAGTCCTCGAAACGCGTCAGCCTTTTATGTCTAAACTCCCTATTGTGGACTGTTACTCAGCGCGGTGTTGATCCTATGATGTGCCTTGACTATATTGTCGTTTGTGAGTACAAAACCTACTTTATTTTTTATTAAACATTTTTTATGGTAATGGGGCCTAGCGCCCTCTTTTTGTTCTTTCCCCATTCAGTATATTTGGATTCCCCCGGTCCATTTGAGGGCAGCAAGGTGTGCATGTTCCAGGACATTCTTAATGTGGTTGTAGCATCGAGTCCATCCCCCGAGCGCAGGAAATTTGTGTTTGCTACTAATTCTAGTGACCTGGGGGTCCCCAAGGGATTCTTTCTGTGGGGCTGCTAGTTTGCGTACCTGTCTTTGTGCTGGGAGCACGCCGCACGAAGACTGGGGTTCCAATGAAAGCCCCGTTTCTAACAATTGGGACCTGGAGCTCCTGATTCCGGGTTACATGATCGCTGTGATCGCCTGATTGGATATCACAGTGATCAGTCACTGTGAAGACCGCCCCATCTCCTTGTTTTCGCTCTCTGAATGGAGGAGAGAGATACATTGCATCTCTCTCTGTCCTTTCAGAGAGAAAAAAATAAAAAATAAAAAATACCTAGATCAAAGTTTGATCCTGGTCAGAGCTAGGGTTAGTGTTTGGTTCAAGGTCAGGATTTTTTTTTTTTTTTTTTTTTGTGTGTAAGGTTTTTTTTGTTATATTAGCATCAGTGTCAGTTAGTGGCAGGATAAAAAAAAAAAGCAAAAAGTGCACAATTATTTTGGGTTGTTCTTTGGTGGTTGGTTATGGCAGTAGCAAGAAATAAACACCTAAATTAAAAAAAAAATTTTGGGTCGTTTTTCCTATAATAATAATAAAAAAATCAGGAGACACCCATTACCATTTACCACCAAATGAAAGCCCAATTTGTCCTGAAAAAAACCCAAGATATACGGTAATCCACTTGGATGCACAAAGTAGTTGTGATGATATGTACAGTTTTGCTAACACATGTCAAAATTGCAAGATTGTGATTAGGCTTTAAGGTTTGTTTTACCCTTTGGCGTGAAGGGGTTAATTTGCAGGGATTTTCTCTCACTTCCTGTTTGGCTATGGGACAGGAAGTGAAGAGAAATCTCCCCAATGGGACACAGATGGCGAAAAATAAACTGACACTGGTAATAACCCTCCCTTACCCTATCCAAAATGAAAATAAAAATAGTTTTGCCTATAGTTCTACTTTAAGTACCCCCATGGTATGTGTACATTAGTTACCAGGACCCCCCTAATTACATATTTTATTCCAACTAAGCATAACTGCACTACTTTAACTGATATCCAACCTATTCACAATTATGTATTGTTATACTAAAAGAAAAACCGTTATTGTGACCTTACTATAAAACCCCCCAGAGCCCATGAGAGGTTCCCCTGGGGTACACCAATCACTGATCAGCCAGAAGTCTTTTACACACCTGAAGATGAACAAAGACCACCCACCATAAACAGAGCAATATCGGCAACAAGAGCGAGATTGATCATCTCCGGGTATTTGGAGACTTGTAAAGTATAAATATAGAAATAGTATAGAATATACATATATGTCAGATAGTTATATTTAAAAAACTTGTAAGAATTTCTGATTGCTGCGGGATACAAAGGGGGAGATTATGCATAAAAACACAAAATATAAACCATGTCAGCGGAGCTATCAGAGCTGCACATTATCATGCAGAGATCCAATCATCCTTCTATGCGCCGATTGATGTCTGCGCAGTCTATGTGCGATCATACACGTGGAATGATATAAGGGGTGTCCTATGGAGGTGATCACACTTACCGGGACTTCCGCTGTGCAGCCTGTCCTCCGTCCAGAGATCCTCCCCCTCCTCTTCTACTTGTACAACTTTACTTCCACTATCAACCTCGTAGCTCCCGCCAGTATGTCGTCACTTCCAGGAATCCCCTTTCTCCCGGAAGTGTCGCCGTCCTGTGCCCTTTGCACATGGCTGCTGGTGGTGTGTCAGGCTGTGGGTGTAAAGGGGTCCGTTCCTGCCTGCTGTGTGAGCCCGCAGTCCGGGAGCTGCCCAAGGAGTCAGTCCAGGTACTTACCTGATGTCATTCTATTGCTCAGTATGTGGCTGTATATCCAGGTTGCCATGGCAGTGGGAAGAGGTGCAGCAAGTGTACTTGTCTTAGGTGGCTAGGAATCGGCTGTGCTAAGCTTCACGTACTGTAGGGTTCTAAGGAGTACACTAGAGGGCGCTTTCAGAGTCTCTGTCATGATTGCAATCAGAAATCTCACCCCAATCCCTGTACATGTCCATTGTGTGTATCCCCTTCCTCCTCTCCTCATACTGTCCATGTATTTTGTTTGTGGCCGTCTCAACATCTCCTTTTTGTTTCCCTTCCCCCTAGTCTAGCCTTTTCCAACTGGAGCTCAATCATGGAACTTTAGGGTTCCTCCAGAGATGTCTAGGGTTTCCTTGAGTAATGGGCAATTACTACCTGTCAGATAAGTTACCTCTGACACCATGAGCGTAGCATCAGGGGTCGCAATCGGGACCCCACCCATGCTCCAGGGGGCCCGTGCTCTCTACCTGTCATTATGACAGGTCAAGCGGAATCCGGAGAATTTGAATGAGAAGCTCTGAGTGTTTGGCTCCATTTTAAAGTGTCAAAGTTGGGAGCCAGGGAGGATGAGTTAGGCCAGCCCTGGATGGGAAAGTGTCAGTGCTGATAACCAGGAGGAGACAGATACTGAGCTGTGACCGGGCTGTCTGACACCAATGATAATTTATTCATCTGTAAGGTTTGTGGGGGGTAGGGCAGGTTTCCCTTTGACCACTAAGGTACAGAGCATGTTGCCAGTGAGTGGCATTCTTCCCATTAAGCACCAGTCCAATGGACCCTTCTTTCCATTGACCACCAATGCAAGGTGACCTTACAACCTTTGTCTGTGCATGATGACCAACAATTAAAAACAAAGATGGTCCTTCTCCAGCTGACCACCAATGTAAGTTGGACCTTCTCATAATGTGAATTGCTCCTTCTCCCACCGTCCACCAGCGTTGGGCGCGCCTTCTCCCACCGTCCACCCAGCGTTGGGCGCGCCTTCTCCCAGCGTTGGGCGCGCCTTCTCCCCGCGTTTGGGCGCGCCCTCTCCCGCCGTCCACCAGCGTTAGGCGCTCCCTCTCCCCGCCGTCCACCAGCGTTGGGCGCGCCCTCCCCGCCGTCCCCAGCGTTGGGCGCTCCCTCCCCGCCGTCCACCAGCGTTGGGCGCTCCCTCCCCGCTCCCGCCGTCCACCAGCGTTGGGCGCTCCTTCTCCCACCGTCCATCAATGTCAATGATCATCATGATGCTCTTTTTCTCGCACGTGCACTGTACAACACTACAGTCATCTGTCAAATATCAAAAATGCCTTGATTGTTGAGTGTGGGCATTCCTAGGTAGACTGCATTTGTACAATGACAGCCCAAGGAAACGCCTTCACATGATGCTGAGCAAAGAACTCATATCCAGTGAATGGGAAGGGGGGGGGGGGGGATTTACATGATGCTGGACATCTTCCAGCCAGGAAATTATGTGGGCTTTATCTGACTTACAAAAGATGAAGCCTCTCCTGAAACTACTACAGTTCTTAGCTCCAGCTAGCAGGAGCTCACTCTTCTATTCCTCTCACACAATTCAGGCAAAAAGGTCTGGCCACCACAGACCACTTCAAAAGTAAAATCAACTTTATTGTTTAGCACAAGAACAGACGCTGCACCCAGGAACCTTACTCTAACACATTTTGCCTTTACTCGTGGCTTGATTGTAGCGTAGGAGGCAATTGGGTCTATATATGTGTATATAGTATGTATACTCTTCATGCTGATTATCTTTTCATGTTTAAAGGGGAACTATACTTGCCTCCACTCCAGTGTTGCAGTGTCCAGGAGCTTCCTGCCAGCAGCTGACATCTTTGCCCAGTTTTCTTTCCGGGTTCCAGTTTTCAGTAACTTTGATTGACTGGGCAAAGAAGTCACTCCCACACACGTGCTGCAGTTCATTCATTTCAGCATTGCCAAAATCATACACCAATCAGCTCAGCGTACAGTAAGGTTAATGCAGAAGAATCGTAGTCTCTTTTGCATTAAACATCCTGCCTGTTTAGCAATTATTTTTCCACTTTAAAGGTACACTAACCTCTGACTGATACCTTTAAAGTGGTAGTAAACTGCAGGGAGATTTTTTTATTTTTTTCAAGCTAAGAGCATAATGTTAACATTTAGGAGATATCTACTTTAGCAGCACCGGTGATGTCACCAGGGCATGCTGATTGCGCTCTCAATGGACAGCGTGCCATCCATTGAGTGAGCTGTGCCACGGCTGATACTCCCACGTGCATGTGTGATGTCATCACAGCTCGGCCAGTCAAACGGCTGCACCCCGCTAATCCGGAAGGAAGAAAAGGTGAAGCTGGAAGCCTCGGGGAGCCTTGACAGCACTCACAGCTGGAGGGCTTAGTTTTCCAGTAAGTCTTTTATAATGTGCTAGTGTGCAATCCATACTAGCACATTATGCGCTTAACCACTTGACAACTGGGCTATATCCAAATGATGGCTACAGCGCAGTTGTCCAGTTCTGGGAGGGTGTCATGTGACGTCCTCCCAGAATGCACCCCCTGTGCTGTCTGTGATCGCCGCGTCCTGTGGACACAGCTGATCACATGACACAGTAAAAGGCCAATCACAGCACCCTTTTACCACGTGATCAGCTGTGTCCAATGACACAGCTGATCACAAAGCAAACACAGTTGTCAGTTAGCAGCAGCACATTCCTCACACTGTCACAGCGTGAGGAAAGTTCTGCCGATAACCAGCAACTGTCACAGAGGACATCTGCACTGATAATCATGGCACTAATTATCAGTGCAGCCCTAAAAGTGCCCGACAGTGCTGTCAGTCAGAGCTGCCTGTAAGTGCCCATCATTGCCGCCTGTCAGTGCAGCCTTATCAGCGCACATAAGTAAAAGGAGAAAATGTACTTGTTAGTAAAATTTTATAATAGAAAAAAAAAAAAAATCTCTTTTTTTTTTTTTTTTTTTTACTTTTTTGCTTTTTTTGTTTTATAGTGCAAAAAATAAAAAACCCAGTGATGATTAAATACCTCCAAAAGAAAGCTCTATTTGTGTACAAATTTCGTATGGGTACAGTGTTGCATGACTGCACAATTGTCATTCAAAGTACAACAGCGCTGAAAGCTGCAAATTGGCCTGGGCAGGAAGGGGGTAAAAGTGCCCGGTAGTCAAGTGGTTAACTTGCAGGGAGGAGATTTTCTAATTTTTATTGTTTGCAGTTTACTACTACTTTAAAGGTATCACTAGAGGTCTGACTGTACCTTTAAAGTGGAAAAATAATTGGTGAACAGGTAGATTTTTCATGCAAAGTAGACTTTGATTTCTCTGCATTAAAGCAATACTAAAGGTTCATTTTTTATTTTTTTTTTAAATAACAAACATCCTGGATCCTCCTCTTCTAGGGTCGCCTGCAGGCTTCCTGGCTCCTCCTTTCTGTCAGGTACCTCCACAGCAAGCAGCTTGCTATGGGGTCATTCACACATGGAGGAGCTGCTTGGCCCCGCCCCTTCTCTTTCCTCAATTGCTGACTGGCTGTGATTGACAGCAGAGCCAATAGCTCCCGCTTGCTGTCTGAGCCAATGAGGCAGAAACCCGGGATAGGCGAGGCTGTTGTGCACATCGATGGATCGCAATGAGGCTCAGGTATGTATTGAGGTGACTGGGGGCATAGAATGAATGAAGGTAAAAAAACCTTCAGCCTTTACAATCACTTTAATCTTACTGTACGCTGAGCTGATTGGTGTATAATTTTGGCAATGCTGAGATGAATGAACTCCACGTGTGTGGGAGTGACTTCTTTTTGCCCAGTCAATCAAAATTACTGAAAATTGGGAACCCGGAAAGAAAACTGGGCAAAGATGTCAGCTGCTGGCAGGAAGCTCCTGGACACTGCAACACTGGAGTGGAGGCAAATATAGTTCCCCTTTAAAATGTTACTAAACCCAGGACCCTGCATTCACTATATCCGGTCTTCCACAGTACACAGAACAGGGAAATGCGATTATTTTAGTAAATATAAACTGCTAAATACCTTTTCTCATCAGCAGTTAGAGCAGTCTTGTGACTTCTATCCGTGTCCAGCCCACCACTAACTAAAACTTGGAGGAGGAGTTTTCTTTCTACTCTAGGAGGATGGAAATCCCCTGACCTCTATCTGGACAGTGCTGATCACATGTACTCTCCCAAGGAAAAAATAACTTCTCTCTAGCAATACTCACCAAACTGAGCATGTGCATGCCTATGGTTCAGTCTGGAGATAAGAGATAGTCACTTGAAAGAAGGGGAGGAACAGAGAAGAAAGGATCAAACAGCCTTTTTACACAATGCAGAGGATTAACCCCTTATGTTCCACAGTGAGTATAACAAGCATGCTTTACTGCATATACAGACTGATTTTTCTGTTGTGGGTCTAGTAACACTTTAAACGCTAAATGATAATCAACATGGACAGTATTCATACTATATACACATACACGTTTAGGAGATATTTACTGTACCTACAGTTAGGCCTTATTAGAGGCATACCTGTAGTTATTAAAAAAAAATGGGGGGGGGGGGGGGCATTACTACTGCTTTAATACCATTCCAATAATTACCAACCTTTTCATGATATTCCACAATAAAACCACCATATTAATAACAAATATTTAATATTTAAAACCATAAACTTTTCCTTAATCGTTTTGCATTGCAAACTCTGAGTATTATCCAGGATGTTCATGTTGTTTCACAACTAATCATTATTCTTTGCCTTTTCAGTATTGCTTAAAGCTGAAGTATGGCTAAGAACTATTTTTGTACATTTGCACAGAAAAAAATGTTACCTCTAATAAAGTTTGCCCCATCTCTGGCTGTGGAAGCACTAGTTAAATCTCTTGCTTTTATTCGGCCCGCAGTTTCCTGTGGGTGCTGAAGCTTGTAGTTCTGGCTCCATTAAAAAAAGCCTTGGGTTCTTTTACCAGAGTCAAGGCACTTTGTGGATGAAGGAGGTGTAGATGAATGCTATGATCTCCCCTCCTCTGATCACAGAGCGCCTTGCATTCTGTGAAAAGAATACAAGGCTTTTTCTGAATGGATGGGGTGCCAAGCGAGCAACCTCTTGTATATATCTGTATTACAGCTGGAACCACAAGTCACAGCCAGAGATGGGCCACTCTTCATTAGAGGTAACTTATTTTTACTGTGCACATGTAGGAAAAGTTTTTGGCCATACTTCAGCTTTAAAAGCTAAGTTCACCATTTTTAGCGTGGAACATGTAACATGTTTCGATAGCCGCAGCTGGCACTCGTCGCCCCCCTTCCTTCTGACAGATAGTACAGGGAGACGTCTCCCTGTACTATCTGTCAAATTTGAAAACAGCGTGGCCATGTGGGGCTCTGCCCACACAGCCTCATCATTCATTCACGGACTTCTGTGACAGCCTCAGCGGCTCTCGGGTTGTCGTTTTCAATGAACTACATTGGTGCTGTGGAGCGTCGTGGTAGTTCATTGAAGCTTCCTGTTAATATATCTGCTTGGCAGTACATCACATATGGCTAGCAGATATTCTGACAGGTCTGTAGGAGACCTACATGGCATCAGTGATCTACTGATTGCTGCTGTAATGCTTTCCAGGCTCCTGCAGACAAAAATAATAAACACATTTTTTTTTTACCTTTTTTGTCTAAAAGGTGAACTTATCCTTTAAGCAAATATGGAAAAGCGTATTGAAAAAGATGCAGAAATATGAGAAGTTTACAGTGTGCAGTGGAATCAGAGTAAGCAATTTAAATAACAGGAGAGGGGACTGTACAAGTGTGCTAGACTGAAGGTAAGGGTGGAGTTCAATATTAATTATATTGGGTCCTGTGAAAATTTTTTTTTTTTTTTATATTATTTTGCAGACAAAGTCCTTTATCTACATCCCAAAAAAAGGCATAGCTCTTGGAGTAGAAAACACTAACTCTGCTGGCTGGTGGTTCCCGTTCCCAGGAGTGTGTTTGATAGAAGATTTTGTAACAGAAAATGAGGAAAGAGACATGGTACACACCATGGACATGGATGAGTGGAGACTCTCACAGTCAGGTCGCAGAAAACAAGTACGTTTATATCACTGTTCATAACAAGAGAGATACGCTATAATGTTGCCCATAGAATTCAATCCTGATCATATTTTTTGGATGGGGGTAGGGGAAATGGACAAAAAAAATAGAAGTGGATTGATTCATAATTTACCATTCATGATAAGGATACTACTCTTACAGACCCGTTCCATACATGAATAGTCAGATAAATGCAAACCTACAATCAGAAAATATTGTGTGAATAAATGAGCAAAACTGCAAGTATCATAAACTACCAGTATAATAGCTTAAAGCAAGCTGTAAAAAGTTAAAGGTAAGCCAGCAACATCCTGTAAAAGAAGTGTCCTGTAGCAAAGAAGGGGATGGAAGCAGGAACTACAGGAAATACAGCACCCGGCGGAGGACATGCTGTTGGATACACCCTAAAGTGTCAGATAGTAGCAGTGCCTAGAGCTCTTCCATAGAGTAGAGATTTTTCTTGCCACCCGCCAGAGAATTACTGTATATGTCTTTCTCTTTTAGGACCTGTTCATACCAAACGTGGTGCAGGAAACCCGCGTTCTGTGCCAGTTTTCCGCATTGCATTCAAATCGCACTGCCCTTGTGATTTGCAGCAGACGTCAATGCAAAGCTAACAACACCCCAAGTGCAGGTGCAAACACTGAGCGCTTTCCTGCACCGGATGGCATGGTACAAAAATACCATGCAATGTGGTTGCAGTGCATTTCCAAAAGTAGTGCATGCGCTACTTTTTGTTATGGTGCGATTTCAGCCCATTCAGAATGAATAGGCTGAAATTACACTGCACTGAACTGCATGTGAATCGCACAGGAACTGCACAGCGTTCCTATGCGATTCACATGCAGTTCTTAGTGTGAATGGGCCCTCAGGGACTACTGGTTTAACTTTCCCAACTGGTGACAGGGTTATTTTAAAGTAACTATTGTGTCTTGAAACTTGACCTAAAGGACTTTTTTTTTTTTTTATGCTGTTAGATACTAGATGCATATCCTCTTCTCTGCCACTGTCGCTAAAGGACATAAAAAAGATAATCTGTTGCATTTGGTCACTTCAAAAGCTTCTGATTTTTGAACAGTGTCCTGCTTGTTTATTAATCACCTCTCTATTGGTGTAGTGTAAAAAAAGAGGGAAAAGAGTGTGTATTTCTTGAGCACCATTTATAAATCGCACTGCAGAAAAATCACCTGGGTGACCGGTGTGACCGAAGGCATAATGTACAAAGTTGATCAGAGTTGGACTGTTCTGATTTCTGTGATGGCAAATCACAGCAATCACAAATGTAAACACTGTATGCATTGAGAGCACTCCCCTTTCTCACAACAGAGGAAGGAGGATTTCATTGTTCATGTACACTGCAGCTGATAAACGCATGTTCAGGAGCTTTTCTGCATTTTTTTTCAGTAGCCCCTGAACTCTCCCTAATGTTTTCCTATGTGCCCATGTACACTATGTTGTTTGTAGTCGTTTACAGGCTGTTGAGTTTACAGTCATGTTTTTTTAATGCACCAAACTTGCTTTCAGGAGTAGATTTTATCGGCTTTTCAAATGCTTGTAAACACGGCAAACTGTGTTTATAAGCGTTTGCGTTTAGAAGCATTTTTTAACTGTTCCGTATCCAAATGCTGTCCAGAGCCTGTTTTCATCATCAGAAATGCATGCACAGCATTTTCCATGTGTTCAAATGGACCTAGTACACCAGTGCAGTCAGTTCCAGGTTTCACGTGACGGAAAAAATGGTAGAATGTGCCGCATTATGCTCATGATGGGATCCATAGTGAATACAACCAGAAAAGATAGGTAATCTCAACACATACTGCTCTCTCTGCTTCTGCTCTCTTTATTTCACTCAAAATGTCTGAAATAGTTAATTTGTTACTATTTTTCAGTGCATTCTGGGCATTATGGAAGGTCTCCTGATGTTATCTTCAAAAAACGCTTCTAAACGCAGTATGCAAACGTGGCTAAACTGCCGTTTTTTAACCTTTGTTTTCCAGCAGTCAGTTTCCATTGTTCAGAAGTGTTCTCCAAACATCCCGCATAGATGAGCCCTTAAAGGGCTAATTCACCTTTTACCAAAAACTGCCTATTTAGGTAAGGAGTGCAGGTAGATAAAAACAAAGTGGGCATCTTTGATTACATTTTAATATTGCCTTTGCTATAGGCATGTAGACTTTTGCGTACCTCCCAAAACCATGCTGAAAAACTCTCATATGGCATTCCCCTGGCCTGCCTTGCTGCTAGGTTGTTGCTTAGACGCTCCCAGCCGTTGATGCTCACCCCGGCTATCACAGGAGCAAGCTCTGGAATTCTATCTCCTCAACGCAGGAGCTCTGATCTCAGCATTGTTGCAACGGGGAAGGATAATAAACTGCACTTGAATAGGATTTTGAAACCGAGGAAGAGCTTGTGATGGCGGGGATGAACATCAGCAGCTGGCAATGTCTTTGCAAGAAGGCAAAACAGGAGATCGCCATCTTTGAAAGTTGTTCGGCATGGCTTCAGGAGGTACACAAATGGCCTACATCTATAGTAACAGCAGTTTTCAACTTTACTCAAAGCTGTGCAGTTTGGTTTGATCTACAGATTCCCCTTAATTGCATAGGCAGTTTTTGGTAAAGTTAGAATAACCCTTTAAATGAACGATAAATTTATAGGAGCAAATCACAGGCAGCGGCAGATTCAGGGTGGGGGTTTTGATTGTGTAAAATTGACAGTTTTTTTGATTGTCAAACTATCACAGCACCAAAACTAAAAAAATAGCCTGGTAATAAAGGACTATATACAGGCTGGTACTCAAGTGGGGTAAAGAAGAGTTCTCACTGCAAGTTCTTGGAGATGAGACGAGTGCCATTTATCAAGCACTTGTCTCCTTGCTAGCTATTTTGCTGGACGGCTTCAGGGAAGGGAGGTACATGTACTATGTCCCCTGGCAACAGAATACTGAAAAAGAAAATTAAGTTAGAGTTCTTTAAATTGGAGTTGTTTTAGAAATATTAAAGATTTTATTTGCATTTTTTTTATTCACCTGTTATCGTTATGCAGGATTTTGGTCCAAAGGTGAACTTTAAGAAACAGAAGATAAAGGTTGGCAGTTTCACTGGTCTTCCGAATTTCAGCAAAGTCCTTTGGGAACGAATGAAGACGCATACTGTACTAGAAGAGTTTCTGCCTGTAGAACAGTGTAATCTAGATTATAACTCTGACAGAGGATCTGCTATTGACCCTCATTTTGATGACTCTTGGCTGTGGGGTGAAAGACTGGTTAGTCTGAATCTTCTTTCAGATACAGTGCTTACTATGACAAACTCTTCCACAGATATACTGCAGCTCTTATCTTCTGGAAATCTAAGTGGCGAGCCAAATGAAATCCTTGATTTAAATGGTAAATACAGCAGTCATCTGAATAATGAGCAGTGTGCCCTTCAAGACTTTGCATCACATAATGGAACACAGACCACTCTGGTTCCTTGCTCCGAAGTGGAAGTAGCCATATGTTTACCAAGAAGATCCCTTGTAGTTTTATACGGAAAGGCACGGTATAGTTGGAAGCATGCTATTCACAGACAACACATCACGCAGCGGAGAATTTGCAGCACTTTCAGAGAATTATCAGTGGAGTTTATGCCTGGTGGTATTCAGGAGAAGCTGGGACAGATACTGCTGGAGATAGCCCTTGGTTTCCAGGGAAATTCAGTTTAAGGAAGACTGTCATTATAGTGTCTGCTTGTTCATTACCTATTTTAAGTTATTACATATATTATTTTAATTCAATTCAGAAAATAGTTTTATATCAGATTGTTTTAGAATGATTGATACTGTAAAAACAGATGTGATTTTCTATCAGTGCATTTTGTTTTATTGAGCAAAAACGTAATTTTTTATAGCCCTGCCCATAATAAAAAAAAAAATGATAAAACTTCTCTTATTCACTTTACAGTACAAACATACATTGCAGTTGCACTCGGTGATTGATGAATACTATGAGAATGTATGCAACCAAATGCAGTTCTTTTTCTGCCCTTTTAGATTTTAAGGCGTCCTCTGCAACAAAAATCCAAAATACCCCTAAATGATTAAGGGATGCAGACATGCATTTTTCTCAACAGAACACTACAAATGCATCGGCCGAATAATAATAAAAAAGTAACTCCCAAAAAGCCACAATAGTTTTCTTGTGGTGCAGGACCCTGGTGGGCCCAAAGCAGAGGGCACTTACATACATACATACATGTGTGTGTGTGTGTGTATATATATATATATATATATATATATATGAGAGAGAGAGTGCGCGCTATATATAGATATAGTGGAGTTGTTGCCTATTGTTAAAGTTCTGGCAGAAGGTCTTCACCGCATATAAATCAGTGTGTCACAGACATCCACGCCATCCCAGAAATAGCCCTTCTGTCTATCATTCCTGGGCCCATCTCTCCGCTGGCGGCCCACCTCCGGCATTGCCTTCTGGTGGCCAGAGTTGCCATTTCCCATCATTAGAAGAGCACCTTACCCCCCTTCCCCTGCACACACTTTTGGAATGAGCCCAGATCCTTAATGACATAGTGGTGATGGAGACTCTGGTGGTAAAGTTCGTACCACTTGGACTGGTTAGAGGATCTATAGTGATAGTACAAAATGTTGATCCCTCCTCACCTGAAGTAATATCTCATTTTTAAAATTCAGTTACATTTTTTTATATATATATATATATATATATATATATATATATATATTTTTTTTTTTTCTTGATCTGCCTGTGTCTTTGGGCACTTCACCAAAGTGAAAGGTAGTATACTTGTTAGATTCCCTTTTACCATTACTAGACCATCCCTGGTCATATCCATTTTGATACTTCAATTCCCTTTCTCTATTATGTTATCACTATTGTAGATTCTATACCGTGTTCCAAATAATTATGCAAATTATATTTTTCTCATTTCCCTAAATAATTGATGTAAATAACAGTCAGCATAATTCTCATGTTATCAACTATTAAGAGTACAATTCACATTTTATTGAACAAACCTCCTAACGATAACAGGATTTTTTTTAAACATAAAAAACTTACAATGCACTGTTCCAAATTATTACACACAGTAAGTTTCAAAACACTTTATAGGTTGTAAAGAACTGAAAATTGTCATTTGTTGTGTTTGCAGCATATTTACTGAAATCAAAAGCTATTTCAATCAAACTTTTAACAACATTTTTACTTTTTAAACATTTTAACAGGTCACGTTACATTGTAACATAGAACCACTTATTTGATAGCAGCTTCACAAGTCTTGCATCCATTGAACGTGTGAGTTTTTGGACAGTTCCTGCTTGAATTTGGAAGATGTCAGAATAGCCTCCCAGAGCTGCTGTTTGGATGTAAACTGCCTCCCACCCTCATAGATCTTTTGCTTGAGGATGTTCCAAAGGTTCTCAATAGGATTGAGGTCAGGGGAGGATGGAGGCCACACCATGACTTTCTCTCCTTTTATCCCCATAACAGCCATTGATGCAGAGGTATTCTTTGCAGCATGAGATGTGCATTGTCATGCATGAAGATGACTTTATTACGGAAAGCATAGTTCTTCCTTCTGTACTAGGGAAGAAAGTGGTCAGTCATAAACTCCACATACTTTGCAGAGGTCATCTTTACACCTTCAGGGCCCCTAAAAGGGCCGACCAGCTCTGTTCCCATGATTCCGGCCCAAAAACAAGACTCCACCACCGCCTTGCTGACGTCGCAGCCTTGTTGGAACAGGGTGGCCGTCCACCAACCATCCACTACTCCATCCATCTGGAACATCCAGGGTTGCACAGCACTCATCAGTGAACAGGACTGTTTGAAAATTAGTCTTCATGTATTTTTCTGCCCAATGCCGTTTCTGCTTGTGAGCATTGGTTAGTGGTGGCCGAATAGAAGGTTTATGCACAGTTGCAAGACTCTGGAGGACTCTACACCTTGATGTCCATGGGACTCCAGAGGTACCAGCAGCTTCAAATATCTGTTTGCTGCTATGTAATGGTATTTTAGCAGCTGCTCTCTTGATCCGATGCATGGATCTGGCAGAAATCTTCCTCAATGTGTCTTTATCTGCACGAACCCGTCTGTGCTCTGAATCAGCCACAAATCTTTTAATAGTGCGATGATCACGCTTAAGTTTTCGTGAAATATTTAATGGTTTCATACCTCGTCCAAGGCATTGAACTATTTCACTCTTTTCGGCAGCAGAGAGATCCTTTTTCTTCCCCATATTGCTTGAAAATGGTGCTCTGCTTAATAATGTGGAACACCGTCCTTTAGTAGTTTTTCCTTAATTTGGGCTCACCGGCCAATCTAATTATCACAGATGTCCGAGATTGTTTTCAGTGATCAAAAGAGCCCTGAGACACAATACCATCCATGAGTTAAACTGAAAAACAAAATATTTAATCTTTGTGACACTTAAATAGAATTTGCATAATAATTTGGAACACGGTGTATCTATATTCTATTATTCACACTCACATTTTCAAGGTCTCTCGGGTTTATGGGGCCTGAAGTTTTTTTTTTTTTTTTTTTTAACTTTTTATTTCATACTTATACAAACAACATTAAAACATTCCATCTTCCAAAATATACTTTTTTCTTTTCTCCCCTAAATGAATAAATGCATTCTATAACCCCTCCATCTCCCACCCATCCCCGCATCATTGTCTTATCTTTCTCTGTTTCCATTTCTCCATAACTTGTTATTCCGACCAGTCTCATCATGATTTCTTAGGCTACCTCCTTTACTTTAATTAGTTCTGTATAAGATTCTGCGGTTTTAAAATTTAACCAAACACTCCATATTCTTTTAAATATTCCCATATTATCCTCTTCTAAACATCTCAGTTTTTCCATTCTGAAAAAGCCTTCCACTCTATCTATCCAATCCACCACCCTCGGAACCTCTGCCACTAACCAAAATTTTGGTATCAAACCCTTTGCTGCACTGATTAAATGGTAAAATACTTTATTCCTATTTACTTCCGCCATGGGCTCAGAATAATAGAATAAGCATTTCAGTGGGTCCCCTTGAATATCTACCCCACATATTTCCTTGATATACCATATTTTTCGCTCCATAAGACACACCTGACCATAAGATGCGCCTAGGTTTTAGAGGAGAAAAACAAGAAAAAAAATATTCTGAACCAATGGACTGCAGACATAGTACAAGAAGTGACCAGAGACTGCAGACACAGTACAGGAGATGACCAGAGACTGCGGGCATAGTACAGGAGATGACCAGAGACTGCGGACACAGTACAGGAGATGACCAGAGACTGCGGACACAGTACAGGAGATGACCAGAGACTGCGGACACAGTACAGGAGATGACCAGAGACTGCGGACACAGTACAGGAGATGACCAGAGACTGCGGACACAGTACAGGAGATGACCAGAGACTGCGGACATAGTACAGGAGATGCACCAGAGACTGCGGACACAGCACAGGAGATGACCAGAGACTGCGGACACAGCACAGGAGATGACCAGAGACTGCGGACCCAGTACAGGAGACGGACCAGAGACTGCGGACACAGTACAGGAGATGGACCAGAGACTGCGGACACCTTACAGGAGACGGACCAGAGACTGCGGACCCAGTACAGGAGACGGACCAGAGACTGCGGACACAGTACAGGAGACGGACCAGAGACTGCGGACACAGTACAGGAGACGGACCAGAGACTGCGGACACAGTACAGGAGACGGACCAGAGACTGCGGACACAGTACAGGAGACGGACCAGAGACTGCGGACAGAGTACAGGAGACGGACCAGAGACTGCGGACATAGTACAGTAGATGACCAGAGACTGCGGACCCAGTACAGGAGATGGACCAGAGACTGCGGACATACTACAGGAGATGACCAGAGACTGTGGACATAGTACAGGAGATGACCAGAGACTGCGGACAGTACAGGAGATGACCAGAGACTGCGGACAGTACAGGGGATGACCAGAGACAGCGGACAGTACAGGGGATGACCAGAGACTGCGGACAGTACAGGAGATGACCAGAGACTGCGGACAGTACAGGGCATGACCAGACACTGCGGACCTTTAGGGAAGGAGGGGGAGCGGGTACCTGAATTTGACAGGTACCCGCTCCCACTTCCTCGGAGTTCTCCTTCCTATACTGTAGGCACCCGACTTTGACAGCCGGGTGCCCACTGCGCATGTGCGAGAAGCGTTGCACTTTGTGAATTGCCCGGCGTCTTTTCGGACCTGTCATGTGTCCCAGAAGACACCGGACCATTCACAAAGCGCAGCACTTCTCGCGCATGTGCAGTGGGCACCCGGCTGTCACAGATGCCGGGGCGGGAAGACTACAGCGCTGGACCGAGTAACAGGTGAGTTCCTGCCGCAGAGAACAACTGAGCGACCGGCCCGGTATTCTGACAAGGTTGGCGGCGGAAATACCGGACCTGACGCTTTATATTCGCTCCATAAGACGCACTGACATTTTCCCCCCTTTTTTGGGGGGAAATAAGTGTGTCTAAAGTTACCTGTGAGTACTGTTACAATTAGAAGACGCCTATGTGAAGCCAAGCTATCTGCAAGAAGCCCCCGCGAAGTCCCACTGTTGAAAAAAAGACGTGCTGAAGAGGTTACAATTTGCCAAAGAGCACATTGACTGGCCTAAAGAGAAATGGCGCAACATTTTGTGGACTGAT